CTTCTCGAAGAAGCACTTTTTGATTTAAAACAGTCACTTGCCATACACAGGAAGGTCTACGGTGATCATACTCTTACTKCAAGGACATTAAATCTTATTGGAAATTGCTACATGGAATGTGGTAAGCCAAAAGAGGCATTGACGTTTTACCAGCGAGCTATGGACATGAAAATCAAACTTGTTGGTGGTGAGAAACATTTCGATATACCAACATACTACAATCAGCTATCACAGGTCTACGAAACACTTGGCAAGGGCGAAATAAAAACGTCATCTGAGATATTTTGGAGTTTTCAAAACTTTGCCAACAGCATTTGGGATTCGATTTCTCAAAAAAAAAGACATGATTTAGAAAAGGCCACTGAATTCCTAGAGAAAGCATTAAGCCTTCAAAAAAAACTTGGAGTAAATGACACAGACGACACGGCTACGTTCCAAAGGAACCTTGCAAACATYCTTATCGGACTTCAAGACTATRACCGGGCCCTTSARTATGGTCAGAAATCCTTGAAAATAAGAAACAAGAGCCTTGGTAAACACCCAGAGACTGTGAGGATTTTGTACCTGATTGGGATCATTCATGAGTGGAGAAACGATCATAAAGCAGCTCTAGCAAGTTATGAAGAAGCTTTTGTAATGGAGGAGTCTTTACCTGAAGACAACCACAGTGTTGTGAGAAAACTACTGTGTGACAGACTTGAAGCAATGTGTAAGAAACTGAACAAGAAAGACAAACTGGAAGAGTATAGACCAAGAATGGAAAAATTTCAAAAGGTTAGGAATTAAAAAAAATTTTTCGGTTATATAAAAAATTCTCCAAAAGCATGATAGGCAACAGATCATTAGACCATTTTTGAATTTGTACAATACCGGGTTAGCCTTATTTCAGCGTCATAATATTTGCAAATACGAACAGTCAAAGAAAAAAGGTACAACATCAACAATACATACACTTTGAAATTCTTTGAAAGACTTTCACTGGAACACATGAATGTTCTACACAAAATCGAGGGTACCCTTGAGCAACAGAGAACTCGAAACTGAAGTGTTGTGAGTGACGGTGATCATAAAAGTACACAGAGAAAATCAAACCCATTAACTATTTATTTYACAGAAGAAATAKAAATAGAACGCGCACGCGTGTCATGTTGAATAATAAATCAAGCGGTGATTGTCAGTGACAATCTGGCTTCATTGTGGGAGCATACATGTCCTGTATTATCTAGTGGTCTCGTTGCAAAATAGTCATAAAAGGTCTTAGGAGTAAATTGAAATGTTCTTTATTGTTGCTTTAAAAGGAGACTGACGCTGACGCTGGAAAGAAGCCTGATGCTGATGCTGACGTTGCTGATGCTGATGCTGAAACGGGAGAGGGGACAGACGTAATAACACTGTAAGCGTTACTGATTCCTTTTTTTTGTTTTATTATCGTGTTTACTTCTCTAACTGGTATTCCTAATTAATTATTTGTTGGTATCGTTGCTTTGCAGAGACGACAAAGGAGGATACTATGATTTCTCAAGCGACTTCTTTTTTCTTGAAGTTCCACGCAATGCCGTGAACACACCAATTAAAGTCAAGTACAAAGTTGACCCTTGTCGCTGTCAACCGCCCATGGCAGAAATAGCTACAGATGTTAGTTATTTCTTGGAAATGAGTTCCAGTAGGCCTGTGAAACTCAATAAGCCTATGTCTGTGACCTTAATGCATTCTGGACCTGGAAAAGAATATGGTTATAAAACTACTGTACTGGCCTTCAGTCAAGGCAAATACGTTTGGGAAGAACCAGAGTTAGTAGAGGAAGAAGCAAAAGGTATATTATAACGTACCTACAATAGATAAAATGGTTAAATTTTACACCGTGAAAAGATGAAAAAACTTACTGACTTTTCGGACACTATTCCTTCGTCGGAGTACTAGCTCCGACGAAGGACTGGCGTCCGAAACGTCAGTAAGTTTTTTTCATCTTTTCACGGTGTTCAATTTACCCTTTTGTCATTACTGTTTCATTAGAAACACCGACGCAGCTCACACTAGCTTTTAGCTAGTTATCTCTACCTACAATAGAGTTGTCTATGTGAAAGGTTGTCGACGGAGTAGCGTCCTTTCCTTTTCGCCCTCATGATGAATGCCAGCTCAACCAATCAGAAAGCGAGACAACAGTCCTTCAATAAAACCCAGCTTTTTTACCACGCCCCGTTTAGTAAAAACAACACGCGGAAAGTGATTAAACGAAACAAATGTGAATTTTTTTTAACAAATTCAAGGGATTGAATTGAATCTCGTTATTCATTTAGTATATGGAAGAGGTTATTGTAATAAAAATATAATTAATGTAGTTATGTAATTTTATTTATTTTATATTTTTTCGTAAATACAAGGATCACCAGCATGCAAAACAGATTTCATTCGAGTGCAGATCAGCAAGCTGTGTACCTTAGCAGTTGTAACCAGACTCATCACAGATCGATTCCAAGTCACGCACAAAGGATGTGTTGTCAGGTCTTCTGTGTGTGGTGATGTCACGATTGAGTTCCCCCAAGGAGCTGTAGCCAAGACCGTGGAAGGAACCATGAAGGTTTGGTTATTAAGATTAATTTTCCACGTTTAACGAAGCAATAGCTCTTTGCACATACGGGTAACAACACGCCAATAAACCTAAAAAAATGTTCAGTTTTGCGAACACCTATTTCCATTATTACGCACTTATCGAAATAGAATAATTTGTTTTAGTATGAATACACAGGTGATTATTGAAAATCTCGGGCGCTGATTGGTCGAGAAACTCAAATTATCACACGATAATCACCTCCAGCGATAATCCAAAATGGCGGCCAGCCGCTTTGTTGCTGCTCCAAATTTTAAATGTGTCTTTTATCTTCTTCTTCTTCTTCTTCTTTTTTTTTTTTTTTTT